TTCTTGAATTTCTCTAAGATTAATTTGGGGGTCGAATGACTTATTTTCATACTAAATGTTAGGACTTGATTTGATTGAAGACAACCTCTTACCAGTTTTTCTTCTTTGATCCTTCTTGAAGAGAGACTTGGACTGGAACATGAATTTCTTCTTTGATCCTTCTTGGAGAGGGACTTGGACTTGAAAGTCGGTCTTCAACTTAAATATCTTGGATCTTCAGGAACACCTTTAGATCTTTAAGATAATTATTGAGAGCTCTTAAATTGAGACTTTGATTTATGAGGTGTGATTTTGTGGCTTTGAGGAGAGACCTATTTATAGGTGGAGAGAAAATCTTGGAGAAGACATCAATTGTATTAGTTATTCATGATTTGATATAATCTCTTTTCATATCCTAAGATTTTTTTCTTATCCTAAGGTTAGACTCGGTGGCAGAAAATATTTACTTTATTAATTAAATATCATATTTATCTTGCATTTATGTCTGAAAATAAATAGACACTAACTAATAAAAAATTTAAATTTTGATATCGACAAATGTCCCCTTGAGACTTGTTCACGAAAAAAAATGTCGCGGTATTGAATGAGTTTTAAAATTTTGGATTTGATTTAGACATACAGATAGTTTAAACTCATATCCAGGAGTTCTTCAACTTGAATGTGTAGATAGTTTAAACACGTATTAAGGAGTTCTTCATTTTTCTTTGTTTGTAGAGAGTTATGGAGGAGTTCTTTATTTGGTTTGATTTTTAGATAGTTCATACTCATATCATGAAGTTCTTGGTCAGTTTGATTTTTAGATAGTATATACTCGTAACATGGAGTTCTTTATTTTTGTTTGATTTAAAGATAGTTTATACTCGTATCATGGAGTTTTTTATTTAGTTTGATTTGAAGAGAGTTTATACTCATGCAAAACGAGTTCTTTATTTGATTTATTGAACTTTTATACTCGTATAAAAAAGCCTTCAACTTTGTAGATATTTTATACTCGTGTCAAGGAGTCTTGATTTTGTAAATAGTTTATGCTTGTATCAAGGAGCCTCAGAATTTGTTGACATTTTATGTTCGTGTCAAGGAACTTTCAAATTTGTATATAGTTTATGCTCGTATCAAGAAGCCTTTTGATTTGTAGACATTTTATTCTCTTATCAAGGAGATCTTGATTTTGTGGACATTTCATGCTCATATCAAGGAGCTTTCAAATTTGTAGACATTTCATTCTCTTGCCAAGGAACTTTCATTTATAAACTTTTTATACTCGTGTCGGAGAGCCTTGTAGATAGTTTAACCTCATATCAAGGTGAATTTGAATTTGTAGATAGTTTAGGCTAATATCAAAGAGCATTGTAGATAGTTTTGGCTCATATCAAGAAGAATTGAATTTGAAGATTTGGATAGTTTTGCATATATCGAGGAACTTATAAATAGTTTTAGCTCATATCAATTAGAATTTTGAATTTGTCGATAGTATGGTCTTATATCAAAGAGCATTTGAATTTGATTTGATGAAGCTCTTCATGTAAATTGCCCCCACGGAATTTGTTTTGAGAAGTACATGTAGATCCTCTTTTGTTTGCCTCCATTTGGATGAATTTGATAAAATCAATGATTTTTGGCATCTTCATGGCTTGAGGAGACATCATCCTTAGTTGCTTTCTTGTACGTTTTCTTTAAGGAGGTCTTCATGCATCTTGAAAGATTTTCGAACTTGATTTAAAAAGAAGATATGAGAGGTAGAGATCGTCCCACCGGAAGTGACAAATTTGTCACAATAAATTATAATTCAAGTCCCAATAGGCGTGCCAAATTTGTAACGACACTTTTTATGAAAAACATAAATTTTTTGTACAGCTTGATTTTATTTCGATCAAAAGATTTTGTGGATACAATCTTTGCATGTCTCTTCTTATTCTTCTCTTTGTGAACTTTGATTTAATTTTCAAACTGATTTGACAATTGGATCTTCTTTGAGCTTGATCTTGAATTTCTCTAACATTATTTTAGGGGTCGAATGACTTATTCCCTTATTAAATATCAAGACTTTATTTGATTGAAGACGACTTCTTGACGGTCTTTCTTATTTGATCCTTTTAGGAGAGAAACTTGGACTTGAACGTCCCTTCTTTGATCTTTCTTGGAGAGTGTTGGGTCACCACCTAAATCTGAACAGGACCGATTGAGATAAGCTCTAATCTGCCTGTATCGCCGTGCGTGCACCTGCAAGAACTCAATGCCGGAGAGGTTTTCGGTGAAAACATCCAATGCTTAAGTCAGTCTCAAGAAAAATATGATGATGCTCTGTAAATAAGAGCAGTATATAATGTATATAGAATTTAAAGTTAGGGTGTGATGATACCTTAGTCCCTTTTATAGGAAAATATCTGCCCAAAATGTCTGCCTGGGTGCTCACGGACAGCCTGCCTGGCTGCCCTGATTTAGTGCTTATCCATATCCTAATCACCTTTTAGTCAAATACTAGTCACATTTAGATTTCTTTTTATCCTCTTAAGATTCCTTCTTATCTTTTGTGCTTATTTGGCCTTAGGTCGCGATCCTCTCTCAGAACATCTACTCTACCTCGAGCTGTGAGATAGGTTAGGTCGTCATTGGGGGTAGAAGTCGACTTAGGCTATACTTCGAAGGTCGTATGTAATGCCCCGTTTGACTATGGAAATTTTGAGGATTATTTATTATTATTATTATATTATTATTATTATTATTATTATTATTTTGTTGTTCTTATTATTTATTTGAATGCAAAAAATTATTAATTGTCTAATATGATTTATTTGTCAAATTGCTTAATTATCTAAATATTAAATTAATTGCCTAATTGTCTAAGTGTTATTAATTAATTAAAATGTGTATTTGTATTTTTACTAATATTATTATTATTTTAAAAATTAAATTGTGTGTCTTATAAATGTATATTATATCCGGTTTATTTATTTATTTGTGCGATTTAATTTTTTAGTCGAACCGATTTAATGTTGCGATTTATCGAGCCCGAGAAAACCGTATTGACGCTACGTTTAGTCGAACCCGAGAGCCGAATCATTTCATTGAACCAGCCCGACCCGCGAGAGCGTTAACCGAATCCTCGCCCCGACCCAACTGAACCGGCCCGTGAGCCAAACCCGCACAGCCCGCCCATGACCCGTTTTCCTCTCTCTTTAATAGCGTGCGTATGTGTGTGCTTCTTTTATTAGTTTGTGTGATAAGAAAAATCAAACCTAGACTATTTGAGTATATACATAAATCCTGTATCTATCTCCTCTCATCAGAATTTCCGATCCTACAGCCAAATCGATCTATTTCTCCCTCATTCGATCAAATCACCCACAGCTGCTCCGTTTCTTTCTCTCGCAAATCCCTCTGCATCAATCTCCTCGATCTTGTCAGAAATCAGAAAACAAAAATCTCACGACCCTCGTTCATCGTTTCCATCTCTCGCCTCCTCTGATCACGCACATTAGGAAAAGAGAAAACTCGCCGCTTCCATCTTCCTCCCTCGCGAAGAACTCCGATCGACGTGAAACCATCCTCCACCCGCGAAGCCATCCTTCGTCGTGAAGTCCTACCGCGAATCTGCAACTCCTCCCCGCGAGAAACCCGTCACGCCGCGACCAGAGCGCATCACGCCGCGTCCAACCTGTCACGCCGTGACCTCCACCTGCAACTGCAAGCCCGATGTCTGGAGACTGCAACCCCTCCCACGAGCCCGCCCCTCCGCGGGCAGCCACTGTCCCCGTACGCTGCTCCTCTGGAGATCCCAGCAACCGCGTCGTCCGACCTCGAGCAACAAGTTGAGACCTCTGCTCGCACCTGCCAACAACCCTTTTTCCCCGCGACGAGGTTAACACCAGTCCTCCTACAATTGGAGAGGATTCCATGGCGGGTTGAGAACCACCATCGGCGAGGACAAACCTTTTCAAGCAAGGCGATCTCTGTTCGACAATTTGTTCTCGGAGCAGGTCCCTTTTTCTTTTCTGGCAAGTTCGAGCTCTACCTCCGTCGCGTGCCCTTGTTTCGCGCAAGGAGCAGTAGCCATTCGTTCGAGCAGCCCTTTCGCGGTTGCGTCCGTCTCAGCCAATTGGCGAGCCACGCGTAGCTGTCGGGCCCGACACATGCTCCCGACCCCCTCTTTCGACCCGTTTTCGAACGAATCCCGAGAACGGTACAAGGCTCGACTCGTCTCGGTTAATTTTATGTCCCGTTTATGATATGTGTTTACTTGGTCGTTGAATTTGTTTTGTGAATTCATGTGATAATGCCTATGTCTTTTGGTGTTCTTGAGAATTTTGATATATATAGGGTCGCGCTCACATGAGAATAGTGCTTAATGCGAGAAATAAGAATAAATTTTAGCCATCGGATCGGATGATCTAATGACTAATAGAAAAGTCAAATTTATACCTTCATTAAGGGTAAAGAGGTAATTTCTACACACAAATAGTGGGACCCACACCACCACACAACCCCTAATACATGGAAGCCTACCAACACACCCCCTATATCTCTCACACACACAAATACACACACATGCCACGTCAGCTACCACCTAACACAAACACACGCATAACACACGCACACACCCACACAACACACGCACACACACACACACACACACCTGCACACACACAACAGGTCCCAATACATTAATTATCTCACATCTAACACACACACACACCAACACACATAGATAAACACACACACACAGATAACCACACACACCGCCACCTGCAACCAAGGAGCCGCCGTCCTCACCCCGTCGGCCGTCATTCCGCCGACGTCCTCGCGCCGTACGCCGCCTTCTTCTTCAAGCAGAGTCCTCGCCGTCGCTTCAACAACAAAAAAAAAAGATTAAGCNCCTCCTTCTCGCCTTCCCCGTCGGCGTCGCCCCCGTCGGAGCTCGCTGAATCGTCGGTACTGAAGCCCGTCGAAGTCGACGTCGAAATAGCCGTTGTTTGCCGCACAACATACGCGGCCTAGGGCCGATGCTCGTCGCCGGTGAACACCTCCGGCCGCCCTTTGAACTAACCACGCGTCAGGCAATGGCTCGCAGGCTCCTCGCCGGCGAGAGGATAACTAACTGGGGCGGTGCGGCAGGGCGGTGGTCCGCCGCCAGTGGTGGTCCGCCGCCGGTGGGGGAACTGCTGAGGAGCTGATTTGTTGGCTTAGGACTAATGTTTGAAGATTTAATAAGTTACAATGACTGTTTTGCAATTTTTTAATAGTTTGGTTATTTGCAATTAAACATTTGGGGTCAATGTGTGAATTCATAAAGATTTAACATTATTTCAATTTAGTTCATGGGCCAAATCTATAATTTACATAAAATATATCAAAACATATTATTTTGTATATATTTTTTAAAGATATATATATATTATGTTTTATAAATAAAAAATAATATAAATTATTCTATAAAAAATATTAACATCTTAAATATATTTCAAAATATAAATGTGTAACAATTTTGCAATTTATAGCAATATTCTCATAAATGTATATTAATGCATATTAATGATAAATAAAGTGTACAATGTTTAAAAAATTTAATATGTGAAATTTAAGTATATAAAAATATTAAAATAATAAATATACTTTTATAATAATAAATAATAATTTATTTAAATTATTTAAGTTAATTCGATGTATAATTATATCTACTAAATTTAATTTTCAAAAAACATATAATTTATACGTGATCATATAATTTAGTGTATTTTATATATCATCAAGTTGCACTTTATAAAACAACACTTTGCACTTTATAAAATAACATGTTGCACTTTATAAATTTAAACGTATCCCGCCAAAATATCACACAATATAAATCTAAAAAATATATATACATAATGTTTAACATATATCACAACATTTATCCACACAAGCATGCCAACATAGCAAACTTACAGTAGTTCACTTTATACATCAATATGTTGCACTTTATAAATCAACGCGTTGCACTTTACAACACAACACATTGCACTTTACAACACAGCACGCTGCACTTTAGCACGCTATTAGATTTCACAATAGAAATCAAAGCCGATATAACTAAAAAATTTTCAACCTAAAATAATATTAAACAATTAAATAAAATTATTAACATATTAAACATAATTTGATATAAATGAAAAAGATTATTTCAATTATTTGAGATAATTCGGTTAACCGAACCGAATAACTCAATCGATTATGTTAATTTTAATTTGATCTTTGGACAAAATTTTGGTAGGTACAATCTGCACAATACAGACCGACACCGTGCACCATATTGTTAGACAAATTGCACTTTATTAACAGTTAGATTGCACTGTATTTTTTGGTTTGCATATGTACTAATTTTTTTAATCAAAACATATTATGAAGTATCAAATAAACAAGAAAATAAATACTAATCATGATTTTTATATTAAATAATATAATTTATGTAAAAATATTATTATATTTTTCTTTATATATTTTTATGTACGATATTATTTATTTTCAACTAAACATTACATAAAAATATTCTCCTTTTTTATAGCAAAAAAAAAAAACATTACATAAAAATATTGACATAATAAGTTTGAATGCAAGTAATTTTAGAATGTCTTTCAGTTTCAGTTCGTGTGAAATTCAAGGAATAGTTTGACTAATTACAATTTTAACCCATATTTTAAATTGTAATATATTAAAGTTTCTAAAATTGCAATAAAATCCGTACTATTTATCTAATTCACAAACTCAAGTCCTCAATTGAAAAAGTTGCAACTCTCCCGTCATCTTCTCCACAGTCAGCCATCTCCGCCGCCACCGACCTCCGTCACCAGAGAATCGACGCCGACGAGAATGGGGCGGCGCGGAGGAGTTATGCGAGAGGAATTCGGCGAGACTTCTTGTCCACAACCTACTCGTCGATCACTGCACCCCCATCGGCGTTCATCCATCGGTCACGACATCAACTCTCCTCTATTCGGCCGCGCCAGAAGACATTTCGACGACGTGGAACACGCCGGAGCTCTCTGGCGGCGTATGGCCGCACCAGGCTGCGGCTTTGAAGGCGGGTATGGCGGCGGCGGCAGCGGTTTGCCGTGTGAAGGCTTTCTCCGGCGAATCTATTGGTGGTGGTTGTGTTGGGTTCGCTATACCGTATGGGGTAAAACGCAGCGAAAATAAAACAAAATAAATAAACATTTATCTAATAAATACTAAACCCCTCGATTCAAATAGCGATTGTTACGATCGGCATCTTTTCAAATCACGTATAAATACGAATTTTTAGTTGTAATAAGTAATTTCAAAAATTACCTTTTATCTTGAACTCCTTCTTTATACGACGATGATTGAAGAAATCAATTCCTGGTTGTATGTGACTTTCACCGTCTCTTGTTACTCACCCGAGGCATCCAAGTGTCTCCCCTCTAAAAGTATCCACCCTTTTGTAATTCAATCGCAAGAACTAGTTTCTTCGCTAGTAGAAACTTCTCGATTTGTTCAATTAGTATCGAAATATTTATTTTTTAATCTTTATTAAAATTTTCAAGAACTATTCTTGATATGGAAATAATTCATTAAGTTCAAGAACACTTCTTGATTTACAACTCTTGTGATTTTTCTCTCTCAATTTTCTTGTTAATACAAGTGTATCATTTGTACATCACATATGTACACCTATTTATACTAAAACATTTAGATCACAAGATGTCATATTGTATTTTTAAGATCATTATTTTATTCAAATTAGATGGCATCTAGATCTAAAATGATTTTAATAAAAAAATGTCATTATATCCCATCTAATAATATTTTATTTATTATTTTAATCTTTGATAAAAATTAATCAAAATATATTATTTCACATATTTATAAAATCTCCTCTTATTATAATCATATTATATGGATTTGAATTTTAAAATCTAATTTTAAAATCCAACTATTAATTTAGTAATTCCATTAATTACTTAATTAATATCCAAAATATAATTAATCAATCAAATTGATTAATTTAGTATATTCCTTTAATTGATATCTAATCAAAATTAGAATTAATTAAATAATCAAATTATTTAATTAATACTTGTCAATTAATTCTAACTCTTTAGAAATACTAATTACAAATGATCTACATTCAAAATTGGGTGTGACCTTTTTAGGTTCACTATTAATACTAGTAGTGCGTTTACAACTCCTTGTAATTTGAATTAATCAAATTAATTCTTATTCTTTGAATTAACTTCTTAATTCAAGAACCCACATATCATGGGAACATCTAGCAAGTAGCATGAATCTAGTATTAAGTGAATAGCGAGTAAACCTTTTCGATTACAAGTCCATACATGTAAAATTCTTTCGAAATCCAATTTCCCGATTAAATCTTGGGTATGATTTAGTCGAAACATAAATTGATTTAATAACTATGATTCCATTTCAAGTTCAATAATTCATATATGAATCTCTATTCATCCCGCCTTGGCCAAGGGCTTTGAATTACAAACTATGAAACTCATAGGAAATTCACTTATCTCATAAATGTCGAATCCTTTGTTGGCCACTGACAAACTTCCATTCATATTAATATAATACCCAAAATATCCCTTTATACGACTATGCTAGTAATCAAAAGGATAAATCAAAGTAAAATATAATATGCACAAAGTTACTATCGTGCCTCAAGTCTAAGGATCAATCATGTACTATTGTAACATGAAAATTCTTATTCGACATAATAAACTTTCATTCATAATTTTCATACGGTCATGTTCAGTGAACTTGTTCTCTAACAAGCACCCACATATATGTATTTGTGATCCACGCTAATGTTGATGGAATGCACATTCTTGTCAAACAAGTATACATCATATGTACAAGTCTTTCCGGATTATTCGATATCCCATCTCGAAATATCCAACGACTTGGAACTGTATTTAAGATCACAGCTTTAAAGATATGTTCCATGATTACCATCAAAGCAACCATGCCTTATAGCCATTAATGATCTAAGGACTTTATCATATGTACAAATATAGGATAAATGCAAAAACATAAGATAAAACAATGCCTTAATAATATAATTCCAATAAATTATTTTTACAAGTAGAAATAAATCCAATCTGATTGCAACGCCGGGTATTCTACTCCAACAATCTCCCACTTGCCCTAGTTCCAATCACTCATGTATTTTAGGCCCATCTTCTCAAGATATTTGTCAAACACTTTCTGTGATAAGGGCTTTGTCAGGGGGTCTGCTATATTTTCTGCTGAAGCGACTCGATCCATAAAGATATCGCCTCTACCAATGATCTCTCTAATCAGGTGGTATCGTCTCATAATGTGTTTGGTCCTTTGATGAGATCTCGGCTCTTTTGCTTGCGCTATAGCTCCATTGTTGTGACAATAAATCATTATTGGATCAACAACAGACGGGACTACACCCAACCCTTGGATGAAGTTCCTTATCCAAACAACTTCTTTCGCAGCATCTGATGCTGCAATGTATTCAGCCTCGGTAGTAGAGTCAGCAGTTGTTTCTTGTTTGGAACTTTTCCAACTAACTGCTGCTCCATTCAAGGTAAATATGTATCCAGACATTGATTTTGAATCATCTTTATCAGACTGAAAACTAGAATCAGTAAAGCCTTCTAGTTTTAGTTCTCCATGGCCGTATACCAAAAAGATATCTTTAGTCCTTCTCAAGTACTTAAGGATCATCTTAACGGCCTTCCAGTGTCCCTCTCCTGGATTAGACTGATATCTGCTCGTAACACTAAGTGCATGAGCCACATCAGGTCTAGTACATAACATCGCATACATTATGCTACCAATAGCTGATGCATAAGGTATACGAGTCATCCTTTTTCTTTCTTCAGGCGTCTTTGGAGACATAGCCTTAGAAAATGAAACACCATGACTCATTGGAAGATACCCACGTTTGGATTCCTCCATGCTAAACTGCTTTAGCACCTTATTTATGTACATTGACTGAGATAGTCCAATCATCTTTCTAGATCTATCTCTATAGATCTTTATCCCTAGGATAAAAGATGCTTCTCCCAAGTCTTTCATGGAAAACTGTTTAGACAACCAAGTCTTTGTTGATTGCAACATTCCTACATCATTTCCAATGAGTAGAATGTCATCAACATAGAGCACAACAAATGTTACTGCATTTCCATTAACCTTCTTATAAACACATGGTTCATCCGGGTTTTTGTGAAAATCAAACGTTTTGATTGTTTCATCAAATCGAATGTTCCAACTCCTTGAAGCTTGTTTAAGTCCATAAATAGACCTCTGGAGTTTACAAACCATTTGCTCGCTCCCACTGGATATGAAACCCTGTGGCTATTTCATATAAATATCTTCCTTAATGTTCCCATTAAGAAAAGCAGTCTTCACATCCATTTGCCATATCTCGTAATCATAATACGCAGCTATGGCTAGCAGAATTCGAATGGATTTAAGCATTGCAACTGGTGAAAAAGTTTCCTCATAATCAATTCCTTGTTTTTGAGTATAACCTTTTGCAACCAGACGCGCTTTAAAGGTATTCACCTCTCCATCTACTCCAAGCTTTCGCTTATAAACCCATTTACAGCCAATGGGTACAATACCCTGTGGTTGGTCCACCAAAGTCCATACCTTGTTTGAGTACATGGAATCCATCTCGGACTGCATAGCTTCTTGCCATTTATTTGAGTCAATGTCCGACATTGCCTCTTCATAGCTTGTTGGATCATTATCCAAAAGGAGTCCCTCTTCTTTGTTCTCTAACAAAAGGTTTAGCCTTTCAGGCGCCCTAGAAACTCTTACAGATTTCCGAAGAGGTTGTACCTCAGAAGGTCCAGTCTCAACTGGTGTGTTATCTGTGACAACTTGTGAGATAGTTTGTGGTTCTTGTTCTTCATTAAGTTCTACAACCTCACCATTCTTATTAGAGAGAAATTCTTCTTCTAAGAAAACAGCATTCCTCGAAACAAACACTTTTTGTTCAGAGGGGTCATAGAAATAGTATCTGATAGACTCTCTTGTGTTGGAGTATACTGTAAAGCAAACTTTTAGTGTAAAGCAAACTTTTACGTGAGCTTTTGGATTGTATTATTCGATTTCCCATTTGACTGAAATAAATGTTTTTCACATTGTTGCATTCTTTATGATTGCTTGTATGTTAAATGTCCAATTATCTTATATTGTAGACAATGTGGTGTGTTAGTAGTCACACAGAAGATTGCATTGTCGGTTCCTTATAAGATATAAATGGTATTCACAACTGAGATAGTTATGGACATGACTATCGGTGTAGGTTGTAGTATAAACTGGATGTAGCTTGTCTTGGCTATTGGTTTATACTAGTGCGCTGCGTCGCATTGAAAGGATCACAGTTGAGACGTGTTCTTCTGTTCTGACTATCATGAAGAACCTAGGTCTCGGTGACTCTACTAATTCTTAACCCTAACTGTGGTAATTAGATATATGGGATATTTGTTTGTTACTTTGACTTACCATGGGTGAGGACCAAGTATTGGTTCAATAGCTCCGTATCTTGGGTAACAACACTATCTGCATGATATCTATTTATTGGCATTAGGGCACCGTGTCCTGGACATCCAGGTTGGTGACGTCCCCTTAAGGAACTCATAAGGATTATCGTATAAACCCTGCAGGTGGATTTAATCCGTACGATAATAAGGTTGAGTGGTACTACTTAAGGATTAAAAGATATTAATTAATTAAAGCAGTCAGAAGCTTTAATAATTAATGGACGTGCGATATCTTAAACACGGGGAATTATATCGAGTCTAATAGAAGCCCTGATTCATTTCGGGATAGGACGGGAGTACAATATTAATTCTCTAGTGGAATGAATTAATATTTACGGGCCAAATTGTGTTCTGGGCTGAACATAAGAATTTGGGCCTGTAGGGAGCCCAAACCCTATACCTTCTAAGAGATCCCTAGGCTGGCCCAAGGACCTCTATAAAAGGAGGGATTGCACGTCTTCAACCCTAACACACATTACAAAACGTGACATTCTTCAGCCACCATCGTGGAGAAGTGACGT